ATCTGACAATATGCAAAGACTAATGCTATTAGCCTACCTCAAATGTTTAAAGAAAATACTGAGTGACTTCAATTTTGGGGCAAAACATTGGCCTCTAATTTTTTTATTATTTAAAGTAAGTTCTTGCCCTAGTACTCTTAATTCCTGTCTATTGGGGGAGTCTCTGAAAGGTATTTTTCAAGAGTGGTAATTATCTTCTTTTAGTGCTAGTGCTTATTAGTTGCTGTCATTGCACTTTACTAGAAATAAGAACTTTGAATTTTTTTTGTAAAGAATTTACTAAATTATCTGTTCAGCAGAAGCATTTTTAAAGTTTTTCTCTTACCTTAGCAGGTAAAGGAATTTCTTAAATATTTGTAACATCATAACATTATTAAAATGGATTACTTTATTTTAGCTTTCTGTAAAGCCTTGGGACCACAGAGAAGAAACCAGCAATACTGGTTTTATTTCCTCGAGTGGTATAATACTCTGATTTGCACATTCTTTCCTCTGAACTAATCATGCTGACTGAGATTTAATTTGTAGAACTATTTATTTTCAAGGATAACATGTTAGATTTGGGGTGGATGGGAAGGACCAGAAGCATAACTAGCTTTTCAACAGCTTAAATTTTTTAGTATTACCTTTTCCTAATTATTTTGGAACAATTAGAGATAAATCTGTAGCAATTTAATTAAAATCTAATTGTTGTTCTACTTGAAACATATATGCAGATGTATTACTGACATTCTGAATGTTTCTTTTGATCTCCTTTAAGGCAGACTATGAATTTATCAGCTCTGGTCTCTACCTTGTAGTGTTGTTACACTTATGCGAGCAGCGCTTTTCTGATATGTTAGGAACTGCAATTGAGGCCAGCACACGTGTCAGAGTAAGTATGCAGTGATTTTCTGGCAGGAATTGCACATACAGAGAACTTGGAAACAGATTGTTACTTTGAGTGACCTAGGACTAGATAGCCAAGAAACACACTTTTTAAACAAATTTAGGTTTAAAATGGGCTGTGCTTGTCAGTGCGCTGTGTTTGATTGGAAACTAATCAATTGGAATAATTGCAGGTACTCCGCTACAGAATACTTTCTGTCAAGGTTGTTAGTAATTCATTAGTTAGCATACAGATAGCATACGTGTTGTTATGAATATTGTGAATTTATGCAAAACGGGAGGTTAACCTCTCTCTCTGCCAAGTGTGCAGTTAAGAATGCTGGACTACCTGATTTGTTTAATTTTTCTCATTATGCAAGTCTCCTATTGCAAAGACCTGGTACTTGTGCTTTTCTAGTGCACTAGACTAGTGCTTGTCTGCCAGGCTACACCTAAATGTGTACTTGAATATTAACATTCTGCAGCAGCCTATAGCTGTCATATGGTTTCTCTGGCATTAGTCCAAACTCTTACTCGTTGGATTTCACTGCATTCTCGTAACTTGAAATGCCTGGCTTAGGAACATGTTTAATATACCTTTAACCAGTAAGAGATCAGCATACAGGGCTCTTTCTGCACAGTGATTCACTCATAAATCCAGTATTTTTCATGTTTATTTGATACTAGATAATTAATCAGTGGTCTTAGTCAACTGAGCTCCTGAAAAGCCAGTTATTTTTAGATTTTTTCTTACATACAAAGAAGTGACAGTATTAACCTTATCTAGTGCATATGGTAGTCGTTGACTGGTAGCAGGTAGTAGATCTTTGGAAGAGGCAAAACTGTGCTCTGCCTAATCTCTTAATGTATTAGAACAGGGTTCCTCTTTTCTGTACAGATCCAATGTAGGGCTTGTATTCTGTGCTACAAGTGTAGAGATATAAAAGATGTATGATCTAATTGTAGCCAGCATCCAGCACAGGTTGTTTAGTTTGAGTGTATTGCAGAAGATGTTTTTACTGGTTTCCCATCAGCAGAGGCATTACATACTTTAGTGTGTGACGCTGCATTTTAAACCAGTGAGAGCACCAATGCTGGTATTTTATATCAAGCATATGAATAAGCTGTGGAAACTCTTGTTATCTGCTGTGTCTCAGTGTCTGGACTTTTAACTGAAGCAGTGGTGCAGATTGCCAGTGACAAAAAAACCCCACTTGGCTGACACTTTAATTGTAGGAATTTTGGCTTTGGGTTTTGATACTGCATGTTTCTTACATCAAACTGTCATCATTGCCCAATAGTAATCATGTTCTTAAGATTTTCAACTGTAAACAAAAACTTGTGTTTATGCATTTTTCCTAAACCACATTCATTCAGAGGGCTCTGTTTTGTCGTATTAGTCATGAATTAAATGAAATGGATTTAACTAATGCAAGTCCTTACTGTGATTGTTTTTCTGCATTACAGTTTCTAGGAATGGTTTTCATTAACCTGACACTTGTTTATGTTTGCTGCTTTCAAAATTGATGTGTTCTACAGACTGTAGAATATGAAGATGATGTCACAAGTTGCTACCACAAACATTTTAAAGCTGAAATAACTGCAGTAGCAATTTGAAGTCTAGTGTGTGGGGATTTATGTTAAATTTTGCATTGTTTTTTGTAAATTGGGCAAATGGGTTAGGTAACCAAGATCTGTCATGAACCTTTGGGATGTAAAAAGTGAAGAAAAATTTGCTGACTTGTTGCAAATGTCTGCAAATAACTTTGCAACTTTTAAACTACTTTCTCTCTGCCTTGTTTCTAGTTTATTAACCTTGCAAGAACTCTTCAGGCACATATGGAAGATATTGAAAGTAGGTGCTTCCCCTCTTTCCCTCCCCTCCCATTAGTCAACTAAAAGCTAATGAGTACAATCCTCCTTGCCAAGATTCATAATACTGAACATAATTACTGAAAACCTTACTCAGCAGTGCTTTTTCCATCATCAGTAGAATTATTCTGAGGGGGAACCGATTTTAATTCTCCATGATTAACTTGCCAAGAGCACACAGTTTTTTAAGACCACAGAAGTGTTATCTGCAGTCGATAACAAAATTCCATAGTAGTTACAGTTTGGTTATTGTAGTTCTGGTAATTCATAATTACAGGATAAATGATGACCTTCAGGTTGCTTCCTTTTACAAGAGAAAGTAGGAAAGAAAGTAATAGGAAAGAAACATTTAGAATTGAATTTTACTGCATTTAAATTAGACACTTGTCTTGCCAGCTTTCTTCCCTTTCTTTTTCTTTCCCTCTTCTCACCTTTGTATTTCCATTCACATACACTTTTTGGTTGTGTGGGTTCCTTGATCAGACCTCTTTAATGAATTCTAAAAGTTGTCAATTTTGGCAAAGGATTAGCCTACTTTTCATCTAATGGCTTTTTTTGTGTGTGTGTGTGTGTGTGTGTTTAAATTCAAAACTATATGCTGATATGTTACATTTCTTGTAAATACACCCTGGATCTGTTTCTGGGCATGTTGAATAGGCAGTACAAGGGTAGTTGGTCTGCCCTTTTTTTCCTAGTGTGTATGTGTCTGTCAACTGTATATGAGTTTTCAGTACACAGGATGCATTTGGAATACTATAAAGAAAGGGAGTGTGTGTGTGTGAAAGAGGGAGTTCTGGTTCAAGGTGATTATTTCTGCATTCGGAGTGGTCAAATGTGGACTTGAGGTATTAATTCCTAAGTTATGTGCATTTTCTCTATTAGAGGAAAAATTAAGGAGTGTCATTTTACTCCTTAAATCAATCTATGTTTGATTCAGCCTTTAACTTGCAGATGAGGAATCCTGAGTTCTAGATTTATTATTGATGCACTTCAGTTACATTTCTCTTCTAAGAACTGAAGAAGCAAGGAGTTAGACTTTTCTTCTTTCTGTGTTCAGGGATGGAACAAGTTACTCCAGTATAAATACTTCCTTGCCTGCAGACCTTGCTTAAGAGGACACACTAAATTCCTGTTACAGAGAAGCTAACATTTTACAAACCTGATGTAGATGTGCATACTGACTTTTCTACAATAGTTGACAAGTGGGCATTTGTCTTTTAACTCCCCTTGCAATGACAAAATCCCGTGCATATGTGGGCTTTGTGTTCATCTTGCATATGCTGAAAGGACAGGACTAGAGAGAGGAGCAGCTTCCAAGTAAGCCCAGTTTGCATTAAGCAACATACATATATATTTATATATATAAAATGTAAGAGTCTATTTTCAGACTGCTGGATCATTTTAGGTATTTTTACTATCCAAATTGCTAACTTAGTAATGTCTTTCCCTTATGTTGGGTGCTGCTGTCATGGATTGAGTATGTCCTCCTCTGACTACTGCTGGAATTAGTCACTCTAAGCACTACATAAAAGTTGAATCTCTGGCATAATTAAGTTTTCTTCCTCTTATTTTGAGGAAGGAGAGTAGGAGGACACAGCAAATTGTATGATCTGTTGAATTTTGATTTGAAAATGCTGTATTTTTCCGACATGAAATGCATTTAAGAATTAAGTTATGTGATTACTCAAGGCTTGGGTGGGTATCGCAGTCTGCTATTTGATATTATAAAATCACCTTTATTTCCTCTACTTATGCTAAAGTGCTTTAATTTTGCACATTTTTGTCAAGGTTTCTGATTACTGTGTTGTCCCAACAGCTTCTGAAGATGACTCTGAAGACTGATGCTGGTAGAACTTTCATACTGCAAGAAACAGATGGAATTGCTGCAGAAATGCTGAAGTGGCAAGAACAACATCAACGTGCATTTTTTTATTCCTCTCCTTAGTAAAACGCTCATTGAATATTACTGTAGTTTTTGAAGCATTGTTGAATTCAAAATCAACTGCTGCACAGAGGAGCTCAGTAGACTTGAGAACTACTCAGCATGTGTGAGGATTAGATACATAGAAAGCAACCTCCCTTTTCAAATTATGAGGATGTTGTGCTTTGTTTTGGAAGACATTGGAGTCTGAATATTTAAGGAAGCTCTGTCTCCCTTTGTGTTTCCTTCTTACTGTAGTCAAACTTCTGGTTTTGTCTTACCGAGTTTTGCTCCTGTACTGGCACTAAGTGGTTATAAGGGGTTTCAGGGGGAGGGTGGGGATGCCCATGTATTTAAATAGGTTTCGTTTGGGTGTTCTTAAATGCCTCTTTTGCTGCATCATATAACTGATTGCTTCCATTGTTAATGAATGAACAGGAGGATGAGCAAGATACTGTAGAGATTGTTTGGGTTTAGGCTTATTTGAAGATTATTGTTTAACTCAAAAAGCAATAAGAACTTGCAGTGGTCTTTTAATACTTGGTGATGGCTTTTTTATGTACCAGTTTGGAAATCTGAGATTATATTTGATATCATGTGGCTATTCCATTATGGAATATTGCAGGTGTAAACTCTTGCATTTCAGCATTCCTGGCAGATATGCAACTTGACAAAGACCTCTGGTTGTTTAGTGTAATCGGACTTTTTTTAGATCCCACCTTCACTGTTCAAAGCACCAGTTATCAATGTGTTTTCTAGTGTTGTCACTTCTTTATAAATAAAGATGAAAGAGGTATGCATCTCTACTGGTATTGTCCATTTCATTTAAATGTGGATATCTACCAGAGCTTACACATGAAAACATAGAAAGCTGGAGTCTGTGGGATATCTTTACTAATGTTTCTAAATTCTTATCCAGATATATAAGATAGTTCTAACCATTTTGGATTGAAATGCTTTATATAAATGGTGGTACAATAAATTCTTATACATGTATTGGAATTGCATTTCCTACAGATATGTGTTAGTTTTGTGATTACCACAGTAACAATGTATCTGCAAAGAGTGCAGTATGTTGAATTGCCATGAGTCTAGTTTATTGTTGCAGTATGTAAAACTAACTTGTGCAGATGAAAGGATGTGCATTACCAGCTGAAATGAACTCGTGATTTGTAGAGTTAACTTTGCTAGCATTACATGAGTTGGCCTGTCATCTGTAAGATTTGAAAAAAAAATGGAACGCTAAGGAAATGGCATATTTCTGTGTCCATTTTGGTATTTTTAGGCATTTGGTGCCAACACTTAAAAGTATTATTCAGTAATGAGTTGAAATACAGCTCCGGGACATTCGTCTGAAAAGTGAAGGTCCAGGCATATGTGAGGATGTTTCTAACTTGTTTCTGAAGAAGGTGAATTGAAGTTTATAATAAATGTTCAATCCTTGCTGAGTTAGATGGTACTGCATAAGAAAATGTCATACAGGGAAGTAGTCAGTATTTTATATACACTCAAATACATTTAGGGTTACAAGCATGGGTTCTGATGCCCTAATAAAAACATGACTTGAAGGATATTTAAAAAAAATTTTCCTCGGTCTTTGTAACAAACGCCATTCCATGAAGGTGAGCAATGTAAGGAGCTCCACGTACAAATGAGGCTGAAGTGATACGTACGTTTGGTCTCCTACAGCCTTGTCGAGCTTCAGTGGAAATGAGTGACGGGGGGAACGCCACAGTGGAATTGGTGAAGAGTAGAGGGTCTGAATGCACCAGCTGGGAAGAATGGTGCCACCAGACCCAGCTGCCTTCTCAAAGGAGAACTGTCTTGCAGCCCTGATGCCCCGCAGCTTTAGATGCGTAGAGCCTGGGAGTGGCCAGATTAGTTGTCATCTGTGTAGCTGTGCTGTGAGATCTCTGTCCACGGGCACACCTATCTGTGCAAGCTCTTTGGGTCCATGCAAGCGGATTTTCGTTAGCACATCGCACGTGTGTCCATGCAGGTGTCTGTGCAAACATGCATTTTCTCTCATCCACACATGCATGCGCCCTATTTGTTCCCAGGGTTTCAAGACGTGAGGAGTAACTGTGGCTTGTTGCTTGTTTTAGCAATTCATAGGCATACCTCATCCTCAGTGGTGGGCCCAGATCGCCCTAACGAGGCCAGTGATGACAGATCCACGTGTGAATGGGAACAAGCTGCAGAATTGAGGGCCTCAGTCCCATCCTGGGGCCAGTTAAGAGCTGTGAGATTGACAGGATGCAAAGGCGTTCAGTGCCTTTGGTGCTCTGCTGGACATGATCCAAGTGTCCATCCTGGGCTCCTGTGTTGGGGGCAAAAAGGAAAGCATATTTTTCCACGTTACAATTCTGACCTCTGCTACCGTGTGTGCAGTAGCCTTTTGTTCTGTGCCACCCTCACCTGCCAGGTTGTTTGCACTGCACTGCACTGCCCTGCCTTGTTGCAAACGTCGCGCACTGCTGCGCTCCTCCCAAACCCAAGCACCGGCTGAGCTCTTCTGCTCGTTTACACCGCCCACAGTGTGCAGCAGAGGATCCCACCCGTGCACACGAACTCTGCAGTGTCGTGCATGCGCAATTAAAAAGCAGTAATAAAACTGCTAAAACATAAAAACAACCAGCAACACTGCGTACACATGAGCAGCACGACTCCAACAAGCGAAGGGACGAACGACGGTTCGCGGAGCGGCGCACGCGCGGCCAAGGGGGAGAGCTGCGCGTGGGGCTGCTCGCTGCCGCCACCTGCTGGCGGACAGGAGGGGCTGCAGCCCCCGGGAAAGGCTGCGCACGCGCAGTGCCCCGGGACTGAAATGGAATGATGATGGGGTCGCTGGATCCATCTTTGCTGCGTGGAGAAGGTAGTCTGGGTTTTTTATTTTTACTTGAACTGCATGAATGACTAGTGAGGGGGAGCGTTCTTCCTCACAGCACAATTGCTGTTACCCTTTTTTAAGTAGGAATCCTATTAACGGGAGACCTAATGACAGTGATGTTGCTAGTGTAACAAGAGAATGTTGTCATCATTTCCGCTGCTGGGAAGCTTGCAGAGTACAAGCCCTAGTGCCCTGAAAATGTGCTGTTGTGTATTACTTTATGAGCAAATATGTTGTTTCCAACCCATTTTGACTCAGCAGGCAAAAACATGCACTGCGCAGGTGCCAAATGGTCTTAGCCTTTTGCACCTGAAAATTTCCTGGAAGGATTTATGGGGCAGCAGCGCTCAGTTAATTGTGAGGCACATCATGAGACTTGGGTTAGGTGCTTTGTGAAAACTTCTGCGGGACTTCTTTGCAACTTTGCAGAAGTGCTTTTGAGTATAGCGCCCCTTTTAAATTATCTTTGCTTCTTCCCAATATTTACTTCTCACAAAGTATTTTTATGAGCCCTAGGAGTATGTTTCCTGAGCCTCATTTCTTGAATGAGGGCTAAAGTCTGCTAGAGGCAAGGAAATCTGCCTCCTTGCTTTTTCCATGGTAGCATTTTTAACAAAGAAGTTTTCCACAAGGCGCTGGTAGGCCCCAGGTTTATGAGGAAGTTTAAAGGTTCTTGCAGCCAAGCTTAGCTGTGTGTTTAGGTATATGTATGTGTTTCCTGTTCCTGCTATATCTTGGCTTTCTGAAATTGCTATATCCTCTTGCATGCCAGTATGCCTGAGACTCCGCAGAAGGGGTTTTTGAGTCAGTTTTGGAGATGGGGATGTCCAAGAAGCATCCCCTTAGGTCACCTAAAGGGAAAGTGTCTGTTTTGATCTCTGTGCTAAGGTGCACAGGGCAGAGCAGTTCTGGTGTGTGTCCTGTCACTTGTCTCTGGTGCACTCTGTGTTCTTTGGGTCTCTCGGTCCTTTCTTCTCATCAAAAGCAGAAGAAGGGCAGCAGAAGTTTGAGGTGGAGGCAGCTTGGGTCTGGCACACATCCTGCACCGTTTTGATAGTATGGAAGCTGCTGCCCACTCAGAGCCACACGTCCCTGACCATGAATGCCAGGCCTTTTCCCTGCTAATCAAAGGTCACCACTCCAGGCTGCTGATGTTACTTAGCAGGATGCACTTGGGACTGTCAGAGCATCATAACTTCGAGGTGGTGGCAGCTTGGGTCTGTGACACATCCTGCAATGTTTCAATTTTTTAAGGGTGGCTGACCTTTCAGTGCCGTCTGGATTTTGTGGAGGCAACTGTTCAATCAGTACCTGAACATGAATGCTGGCACTTTTTCCCGTGAAACAAAACTCACCATATCTGATTCCTGATGTCACTTAGCAGGATGCGCTTGGGACTGTCAGGGCAGCTCAAGTTTGAGGTGGGGGCAGCTTGAGTCTGGGACACATCCTTTGCCGTTCAGATTTTTTGCAGTCAGCTGCCCACACAGGGCCCGGAGCACGAACACCAGCTCTTTTCCCTGGGAAAGAAAACTCACCAGTCCATGTTCCTGATGTCATTTTGTGAGTTGTGCTTGGGATTTTCAAGGCAACCCATGGTCGAAGTGGGGCAGCTTGGGTCTGGGACACATCTTTCGCCATTCAGAATTGCAGGGGGCGGCCCTTCTTTCATGGCCCCTTGCTCATGGACTCTATCGCTGGCTCTTTTCTCTGTGAAACATAGCTCACCCTCTCTGGTTCCTGATGTCAGTTTGTAGGGTGCTTGTTATTTCCAGGGCAGGCCGAATTCTTGCTGGCAGCAGTTTTGCTCCAGGATAAATCCTGTGCCATTTGGAATGAGAAGATGTAGAAAGTCACTTGTGGCCACAGGCCTCATGACCCGACCTCTGCCCTTTTTCCCTGTAAAACCCACCTCACCCTCCCTGTGTGTCGACGGAGGTGTGCTGCTCTCCAAGGGCAGCAAGAGTTCCTGGTGTTGGCAGCTGTGATCTGTGAGAAATCGTTCACTGTTTGCAGTTTTGGAAGCACGATTCCTGCTTGGCCAGGGGCACACATAGATGAAAGACTGTTAATTATCTGGAAATGAAAGTCTGGCACCCAATTGTTTATGGGGCTGGCAAAGGGCTGTGTAGGATAGGGAACACCCCGCAGGACCTTTCTTCACCTCATCCCCCACTCCTAGGTGCAGCAGCTTCCCATGTGACCAGCTGCTTTCAGTGCAGCTACCTGGGCACACCTGCACAGGGAGCTGCTACTCCAGAGGGGTTAAAAGGGGTGTCCCTCCAGGAACTATGGTTGGAACATCCAGCAGGGACTGGGGAGCAGCTGGACCCACTTGGGCACGGAACATCCGTTTCAGAAAATGCCAAGGGAAGAGCTCTCTTGCCAAGGGGCAGCACCTGAGGAGGCCATAGGATGCTTGGTAGAGTTCCACGGGAGAGATTTCAACTTTCCCCTTTTATTGTGTCAGCCTCTCCCTAGAACCCCCAGACCTTCCACAGCACTTCCAGAAAACAGAGGGGTCATGAAGAGAAAAGGGGTAAATTATGGGAAAAAGCTTCCTTTTCCATTATTTCTTGTGTTCAAATTATGAGGGACTCCACTTCCCCTGCAATTGTAATGGTCTCAGTTGAAAAAATCCCTGCCTTTTCTATGCTGTTAGGGGTGTTAATTGATAGGGAATCCCCATCTCCATTATTTTCCAGTTTAAATAGAAGGGGAAAACCTTGGCAGTGTTTTTTATGGGTTTGAATTAAGGGTAATCCTTTTTGTTGTCCTAAGGCTTAAACTGAGGGGGAAGCCCAGCTAGCCCTCTTTCTTAAGGGTTTGGATTGAGGGGAAAATCCCTCTGTCTTCATCACTGGAGAGCTTTAAAGCGAGGAAAACCTCTCTTTTCCCAATATTCTAAGGGATTAAATTAAAGGGCAGAAGCCATTTATTTGCCATTGTATCCGTTTCAGTGGAGGTACCTTCCCCATTTCTTCATTTTAAGGGATTCACTTGAAGGAGGCTCTTCTAAAATGCTTTTTCAGCATTTCAAGGGCTTAAAACTACATTTCAGGGCACTTCTTTCTGTGCCCTAGGACTAAGTATCTCAGAGAAAGGCAAGCCTAGCATGTACTTAACCTTGATGCTGCCCAGGAGCCTATTTTTTTTTTCTTATTTTTAATTATAATTTAGTTAGCCCTAATTAGTAGCTCCAAGGAGACTTAGACAGTTCATATAATTAGTATTCTTCTCCACCCTTAGACTCACACTGAGAACTACTTAGCAGTCACTGAGGAATAATTACATAAGTTAACAGCAAATTACCCAATTTATCTAGATATGCTGCCTAAAAAAGTTTTATTTCTTATCAGTCTTCTTGCCCTGTTGCTCCAAGTAGTTGTAGCGAAAAAGAAAGCACTGTGACTTCCCTGAAGAGTTTTCTTCTATATCCAGCCCTTTATTCCCCTTGAATTCAAACCAGAGGAGCCAAACAACTGTAGCTGCTCTGAGAGATTTTATACCTGGTGGGTTTGCCCCCTCCCTTTTCCTGGGTGTCATGGGAATGAGAGGCGGGCCCAATCAGGGGTATATTAACCCCAGGCTTTGCCAAGGGGCTTCATTCCCTCTCTGGGATCAGCTGGGGTAAGAACTCTCCTCTCATTTTGATGAAGAGGCTCTTTCAGCTTATCTCGGCTTGTTTGCTGCAGGTGCTTTTGGGCTTCTAATGTAACAGAGGCTTTGATGCTACTGCAAAGAAAGCAACATTAAACACAGGGAATATTTAAATTTGTGATTTGGGGTTGTGCAGTCAGTGGTGGTAAGGTGCTTTTGTAATTTCTGATTTTTTTTTTTTTTTTTTTTTTTTGGGAGGAGTGCAACTTCCTGTAATTCCAGGTTGTGTCGTGTACAACATTTTTTCAGCAGACTCATCATGTCACAGAAGTGATCTGCCCTGCGTCAAAGATGATGTCTGAGATTGAGGCTTCAGGTGAGTCGAGGACTGTGACTTGGAGAGGGAGAGTGAGAAGGGTACCTGATTAGGAGTTATCATGGTGGGGGTTTGAAGGCAGCAGGGTGAGTAATGGTGTCTATTTGAAAGGCTTTTCACAAGCAAAGCAGAGGTATCCATGTGTCATACAGCACACAAGCTCATCCACTGAACTCACAGAAATGCCCTGTAACTTTGCCTCTCTAACCCAGGTGCCCCTCATAATAACAGCCATACCTTAGACTCAGGATGGAGCTGGGGGCATGAGCACTCAGGCACACTCAGGAGAGTATAGGTAGCTGACTTGCTGGGAATTGGCGCGAAATTCAGCCATTGATCTTCGTGTTCTTTATTTTAGTTGACAAAGAGGCTAACGGGTGATCCCCTCCGAGGCAGACTCATTTCTGGTCCTTTGTGGATTCACACCACCAATCATCCAAAAGATAAGCTGGCGCCACAGCCTGGAGATGGGAGTGGGGGCCTCCTTCTGCACCCGACTGCAATTTGCATCCCCAGATATGTGCAAGATAAGTCAAGGGCTGCAACCCACAGAGGGGATGGAAAAGAGGTGCCAGGTCGGGAATCCCCAGGAGAGGTTTTTGAGCCCGTTTTGGAGATGGGGATGTCCAAGAAGCGTCTCCTTAGGCCACCTAAAGGGAAAGTGTCTATTTTGATCTCAGTGCTGAGGTGCGCAGGGCAGAGCAGTTCCGGTGTGTGTCCTGTCACTTGTCTCTGGTGCATTCTGTGTTCATTGGGACTCTCGGTCCTTGCAGGCATTCTTGTTGTCAAAAGCTCTCATTCCCTGTCATGTCCCCTGGTTTGTCACATCCTGTCCTGTGTCACGGGTGTCTGCACATTTATCCTGGTGCTGCTCTGCCCTGCTGCATAGCCTGTAATAGCACAAGTCCTGGGGACTTGAAATTTGTATTGGGAGATTGCCATAACATTTTTGGTGCTGTTAAGTTGTCCTGCAGCCGTTTGACACTAGTTCTAACTTCCTTTCAGATGCAGACAGTTCAAATCGGTGGCAGAGGGCACCAGCCCTGGGTGATGATCTTCCCATGAGCAGGTCAGTCATTGTTTGCATTTGCAGGGGAAGCGTAAATGGGTGACTGTGTTACAGCGGTGTTCTTTGCCTTTATTTTTAGGAGGTCCAGACAGATAGCAGCAGTCAAGGCCCAGGGTGCCAGGTGAGCAGTGGACAGAAGCAGTTGTTCTTGCTCAGGTCTCAATTTTTGGTGCAACTGTAAGCATCCATTCTTGTTTTTCTGCTTTAGGGAATCCACTTGGAGTATGCCTAGCAGCTGTCACCAACCGGCTGATGGCCCGGGTTTCCTGTGCTTGTGAACCCTCTGGAAGCATTACAGGACTCTGTGATGAAGCCTTGAAATTTTGTATTTCAAGATGGCATCGGGGTAGCCTTTGGCAGTGGCCAAGGAGGTGCGGCAAGTCACTGAGGTAGGGAGCGGGAGCCAAGGTCCGCTTAGGTTTCAGCAATGCCGAGTCACTTTGTCTCTCCTTAACCCAGGCAGACCCTACAATGACGGTGGCAGCCTCTGAGCATGGCCAAAGTGTGCAGCCCGAGCAACTGGGCATTCTTAGGAGAATGGTGAGTAGCAGAATTGCTGGGTTTTTTCCATGGTGCAGCTAAGATCATGCAGTGATGTTTGGTGTTCTTGATTGTAGCTGAGCAAGGGAACACAGCCCCGTGACCACAGGACCTTCCCAGCAGGCGAGGCAGCCTTCTCAACCCCAGATGCTGGAGAGATAAGTCAAGGGCTAAGGCCCACAGAGGGGAATCAGCTTTGTGGGCGGGGATGTGCAAGAAGTGCCCCTCTAGGCCACTTAAAGGGAAAGTGTCTGTTTAGATCACAGTGCTGAGGTGCACAGGGCAGAGCAGTTCCGGTGTGTGTCCCGTCACTTGTCTCTGGTGCGTTCTGTGTTCTTTGGGTCTCTCGGTCCTTGCAGACATTGTTCTCATCTAAAGCTCTCTCTCCCTCTCCTGTCCCCTGGTTTGTCACGTCCTGTGTGTTGTCACGGGTGTGTGCCCACATTTGTCCCACAACTGCTCTGCCCTGGTGCATAGCTTGTAACAGCACAAGTTCTGGGGACTTGAAATTTGTATTGGGAGATTGCCATAACATTTTTGGTGCTGTTAAGTTGTCCTGCAGCCGTTTGACACTAGTTCTAACTTCCTTTCAGATGCAGACAGTTCAAATCGGTGGCAGAGGGCACCAGCCCTGGGTGATGATCTTCCCATGAGCAGGTCAGTCATTGTTTGCATTTGCAGGGGAAGCGTAAATGGGTGACTGTGTTACAGCGGTGTTCTTTGCCTTTATTTTTAGGAGGTCCAGACAGATAGCAGCAGTCAAGGCCCAGGGTGCCAGGTGAGCAGTGGACAGAAGCAGTTGTTCTTGCTCAGGTCTCAATTTTTGGTGCAACTGTAAGCATCCATTCTTGTTTTTCTGCTTTAGGGAATCCACTTGGAGTATGCCTAGCAGCTGTCACCAACCGGCTGATGGCCCGGGTTTCCTGTGCTTGTGAACCCTCTGGAAGCATTACAGGACTCTGTGATGAAGCCTTGAAATTTTGTATTTCAAGATGGCATCGGGGTAGCCTTTGGCAGTGGCCAAGGAGGTGCGGCAAGTCACTGAGGTAGGGAGCGGGAGCCAAGGTCCGCTTAGGTTTCAGCAATGCCGAGTCACTTTGTCTCTCCTTAACCCAGGCAGACCCTACAATGACGGTGGCAGCCTCTGAGCATGGCCAAAGTGTGCAGCCCGAGCAACTGGGCATTCTTAGGAGAATGGTGAGTAGCAGAATTGCTGGGTTTTTTCCATGGTGCAGCTAAGATCATGCAGTGATGTTTGGTGTTCTTGATTGTAGCTGAGCAAGGGAACACAGCCCCGTGACCACAGGACCTTCCCAGCAGGCGAGGCAGCCTTCTCAACCCCAGATGCTGGAGAGATAAGTCAAGGGCTAAGGCCCACAGAGGGGAATCAGCTTTGTGGGCGGGGATGTGCAAGAAGTGCCCCTCTAGGCCACTTAAAGGGAAAGTGTCTGTTTAGATCACAGTGCTGAGGTGCACAGGGCAGAGCAGTTCCGGTGTGTGTCCCGTCACTTGTCTCTGGTGCGTTCTGTGTTCTTTGGGTCTCTCGGTCCTTGCAGACGTTGTTCTCATCTAAAGCTCTCTCTCCCTCTCCTGTCCCCTGGTTTGTCACGTCCTGTGTGTTGTCACGGGTGTGTGCCCACATTTGTCCCACAACTGCTCTGCCCTGGTGCATAGCTTGTAACAGCACAAGTTCTGGGGACTTGAAATTTGTATTGGGAGATTGCCATAACATTTTTGGTGCTGTTAAGTTGTCCTGCAGCCGTTTGACACTAGTTCTAACTTCCTTTCAGATGCAGACAGTTCAAATCGGTGGCAGAGGGCACCAGCCCTGGGTGATGATCTTCCCATGAGCAGGTCAGTCATTGTTTGCATTTGCAGGGGAAGCGTAAATGGGTGACTGTGTTACAGCGGTGTTCTTTGCCTTTATTTTTAGGAGGTCCAGACAGATAGCAGCAGTCAAGGCCCAGGGTGCCAGGTGAGCAGTGGACAGAAGCAGTTGTTCTTGCTCAGGTCTCAATTTTTGGTGCAACTGTAAGCATCCATTCTTGTTTTTCTGCTTTAGGGAATCCACTTGGAGTATGCCTAGCAGCTGTCACCAACCGGCTGATGGCCCGGGTTTCCTGTGCTTGTGAACCCTCTGGAAGCATTACAGGACTCTGTGATGAAGCCTTGAAATTTTGTATTTCAAGATGGCATCGGGGTAGCCTTTGGCAGTGGCCAAGGAGGTGCGGCAAGTCACTGAGGTAGGGAGCGGGAGCCAAGGTCCGCTTAGGTTTCAGCAATGCCGAGTCACTTTGTCTCTCCTTAACCCAGGCAGACCCTACAATGACGGTGGCAGCCTCTGAGCATGGCCAAAGTGTGCAGCCCGAGCAACTGGGCATTCTTAGGAGAATGGTGAGTAGCAGAATTGCTGGGTTTTTTCCATGGTGCAGCTAAGATCATGCAGTGATGTTTGGTGTTCTTGATTGTAGCTGAGCAAGGGAACACAGCCCCGTGACCACAGGACCTTCCCAGCAGGCGAGGCAGCCTTCTCAACCCCAGATGCTGGAGAGATAAGTCAAGGGCTAAGGCCCACAGAGGGGAATCAGCTTTGTGGGCGGGGATGTGCAAGAAGTGCCCCTCTAGGCCACTTAAAGGGAAAGTGTCTGTTTAGATCACAGTGCTGAGGTGCACAGGGCAGAGCAGTTCCGGTGTGTGTCCCGTCACTTGTCTCTGGTGCGTTCTGTGTTCTTTGGGTCTCTCGGTCCTTGCAGACGTTGTTCTCATCTAAAGCTCTCTCTCCCTCTCCTGTCCCCTGGTTTGTCACGTCCTGTGTGTTGTCACGGGTGTGTGCCCACATTTGTCCCACAACTGCTCTGCCCTGGTGCATAGCTTGTAACAGCACAAGTTCTGGGGACTTGAAATTTGTATTGGGAGATTGCCATAACATTTTTGGTGCTGTTAAGTTGTCCTGCAGCCGTTTGACACTAGTTCTAACTTCCTTTCAGATGCAGACAGTTCAAATCGGTGGCAGAGGGCACCAGCCCTGGGTGATGATCTTCCCATGAGCAGGTCAGTCATTGTTTGCATTTGCAGGGGAAGCGTAAATGGGTGACGGTGTTACAGCGGTGTTCTTTGCCTTTATTTTTAGGAGGTCCAGACAGATAGCAGCAGTCAAGGCCCAGGGTGCCAGGTGAGCAGTGGACAGAAGCAGTTGTTCTTGCTCAGGTCTCAATTTTTGGTGCAACTGTAAGCATCCATTCTTGTTTTTCTGCTTTAGGGAATCCACTTGGAGTATGCCTAGCAGCTGTCACCAACCGGCTGATGGCCCGGGTTTCCTGTGCTTGTGAACCCTCTGGAAGCATTACAGGACTCTGTGATGAAGCCTTGAAATTTTGTATTTCAAGATGGCATCGGGGTAGCCTTTGGCAGTGGCCAAGGAGGTGCGGCAAGTCACTGAGGTAGGGAGCGGGAGCCAAGGTCCGCTTAGGTTTCAGCAATGCCGAGTCACTTTGTCTCTCCTTAACCCAGGCAGACCCTACAATGACGGTGGCAGCCTCTGAGCATGGCCAAAGTGTGCAGCCCGAGCAACTGGGCATTCTTAGGAGAATGGTGAGTAGCAGAATTGCTGGGTTTTTTCCATGGTGCAGCTAAGATCATGCAGTGATGTTTGGTGTTCTTGATTGTAGCTGAGCAAGGGAACACAGCCCCGTGACCACAGGACCTTCCCAGCAGGCGAGGCAGCCTTCTCAACCCCAGATGCTGGAGAGATAAGTCAAGGGCTAAGGCCCACAGAGGGGAATCAGCTTTGTGGGCGGGGATGTGCAAGAAGTGCCCCTCTAGGCCACTTAAAGGGAAAGTGTCTGTTTAGATCACAGTGCTGAGGTGCACAGGGCAGAGCAGTTCCGGTGTGTGTCCCGTCACTTGTCTCTGGTGCGTTCTGTGTTCTTTGGGTCTCTCGGTCCTTGCAGACGTTGTTCTCATCTAAAGCTCTCTCTCCCTCTCCTGTCCCCTGGTTTGTCACGTCCTGTGTGTTGTCACGGGTGTGTGCCCACATTTGTCCCACAACTGCTCTGCCCTGGTGCATAGCTTGTAACAGCACAAGTTCTGGGGACTTGAAATTTGTATTGGGAGATTGCCATAACATTTTTGGTGCTGTTAAGTTGTCCTGCAGCCGTTTGACACTAGTTCTAACTTCCTTTCAGATGCAGACAGTTCAAATCGGTGGCAGAGGGCACCAGCCCTGGGTGATGATCTTCCCATGAGCAGGTCAGTCATTGTTTGCATTTGCAGGGGAAGCGTAAATGGGTGACTGTGTTACAGCGGTGTTCTTTGCCTTTATTTTTAGGAGGTCCAGACAGATAGCAGCAGTCAAGGCCCAGGGTGCCAGGTGAGCAGTGGACAGAAGCAGTTGTTCTTGCTCAGGTCTCAATTTTTGGTGCAACTGTAAGCATCCATTCTTGTTTTTCTGCTTTAGGGAATCCACTTGGAGTATGCCTAGCAGCTGTCACCAACCGGCTGATGGCCCGGGTTTCCTGTGCTTGTGAACCCTCTGGAAGCATTACAGGACTCTGTGATGAAGCCTTGAAATTTTGTATTTCAAGATGGCATCGGGGAAGCCTTTGGCAGTGGCCAAGGAGGTGCGGCAAGTCACTGAGGTAGGGAGCGGGAGCCAAGGTCCGCTTAGGTTTCAGCAATGCCGAGTCACTTTGTCTCTCCTTAACCCAGGCAGACCCTACAATGACGGTGGCAGCCTCTGAGCATGGCCAAAGTGTGCAGCCCGAGCAACTGGGCATTCTTAGGAGAATGGTGAGTAGCAGAATTGCTGGGTTTTTTCCATGGTGCAGCTAAGATCATGCAGTGATGTTTGGTGTTCTTGATTGTAGCTGAGCAAGGGAACACAGCCCCGTGACCACAGGACCTTCCCAGCAGGCGAGGCAGCCTTCTCAACCCCAGATGCTGGAGAGATAAGTCAAGGGCTAAGGCCCACAGAGGGGAATCAGCTTTGTGGGCGGGGATGTGCAAGAAGTGCCCCTCTAGGCCACTTAAAGGGAAAGTGTCTGTTTAGATCACAGTGCTGAGGTGCACAGGGCAGAGCAGTTCCGGTGTGTGTCCCGTCACTTGTCTCTGGTGCGTTCTGTGTTCTTTGGGTCTCTCGGTCCTTGCAGACGTTGTTCTCATCTAAAGCTCTCTCTCCCTCTCCTGTCCCCTGGTTTGTCACGTCCTGTGTGTTGTCACGGGTGTGTGCCCACATTTGTCCCACAACTGCTCTGCCCTGGTGCATAGCTTGTAACAGCACAAGTTCTGGGGACTTGAAATTTGTATTGGGAGATTGCCATAACATTTTTGGTGCTGTTAAGTTGTCCTGCAGCCGTTTGACACTAGTTCTAACTTCCTTTCAGATGCAGACAGTTCAAATCGGTGGCAGAGGGCACCAGCCCTGGGTGATGATCTTCCCATGAGCAGGTCAGTCATTGTTTGCATTTGCAGGGGAAGCGTAAATGGGTGACTGTGTTACAGCGGTGTTCTTTGCCTTTATTTTTAGGAGGTCCAGACAGATAGCAGCAGTCAAGGCCCAGGGTGCCAGGTGAGCAGTGGACAGAAGCAGTTGTTCTTGCTCAGGTCTCAATTTTTGGTGCAACTGTAAGCATCCATTCTTGTTTTTCTGCTTTAGGGAATCCACTTGGAGTATGCCTAGCAGCTGTCACCAACCGGCTGATGGCCCGGGTTTCCTGTGCTTGTGAACCCTCTGGAAGCATTACAGGACTCTGTGATGAAGCCTTGAAATTTTGTATTTCAAGATGGCATCGGGGTAGCCTTTGGCAGTGGCCAAGGAGGTGCGGCAAGTCACTGAGGTAGGGAGCGGGAGCCAAGGTCCGCTTAGGTTTCAGCAATGCCGAGTCACTTTGTCTCTCCTTAACCCAGGCAGACCCTACAATGACGGTGGCAGCCTCTGAGCATGGCCAAAGTGTGCAGCCCGAGCAACTGGGCATTCTTAGGAGAATGGTGAGTAGCAGAATTGCTGGGTTTTTTCCATGGTGCAGCTAAGATCATGCAGTGATGTTTGGTGTTCTTGATTGTAGCTGAGCAAGGGAACACAGCCCCGTGACCACAGGACCTTCCCAGCAGGCGAGGCAGCCTTCTCAACCCCAGATGCTGGAGAGATAAGTCAAGGGCTAAGGCCCACAGAGGGGAATCAGCTTTGTGGGCGGGGATGTGCAAGAAGTGCCCCTCTAGGCCACTTAAAGGGAAAGTGTCTGTTTAGATCACAGTGCTGAGGTGCACAGGGCAGAGCAGTTCCGGTGTGTGTCCCGTCACTTGTCTCTGGTGCGTTCTGTGTTCTTTGGGTCTCTCGGTCCTTGCAGACGTTGTTCTCATCTAAAGCTCTCTCTCCCTCTCCTGTCCCCTGGTTTGTCACGTCCTGTCTGTTGTCACGGGTGTGTGCCCACATTTGTCCCACAACTGCTCTGCCCTGGTGCATAGCCTGTAACAGCACAAGTTCTGGGGACTTGAAATTTGTATTGGGAGATTGCCATAACATTTTTGGTGCTGTTAAGTTGTCCTGCAGCCGTTTGACACTAGTTCTAACTTCCTTTCAGATGCAGACAGTTCAAATCGGTGGCAGAGGGCACCAGCCCTGGGTGATGATCTTCCCATGAGCAGGTCAGTCATTGTTTGCATTTGCAGGGGAAGCGTAAATGGGTGACTGTGTTACAGCGGTGTTCTTTGCCTTTATTTTTAGGAGGTCCAGACAGATAGCAGCAGTCAAGGCCCAGGGTGCCAGGTGAGCAGTGGACAGAAGCAGTTGTTCTTGCTCAGGTCTCAATTTTTGGTGCAACTGTAAGCATCCATTCTTGTTTTTCTGCTTTAGGGAATCCACTTGGAGTATGCCTAGCAGCTGTCACCAACCGGCTGATGGCCCGGGTTTCCTGTGCTTGTGAACCCTCTGGAAGCATTACAGGACTCTGTGATGAAGCCTTGAAATTTTGTATTTCAAGATGGCATCGGGGAAGCCTTTGGCAGTGGCCAAGGAGGTGCGGCAAGTCACTGAGGTAGGGAGCGGGAGCCAAGGTCCGCTTAGGTTTCAGCAATGCCGAGTCACTTTGTCTCTCCTTAACCCAGGCAGACCCTACAATGACGGTGGCAGCCTCTGAGCATGGCCAAAGTGTGCAGCCCGAGCAACTGGGCATTCTTAGGAGAATGGTGAGTAGCAGAATTGCTGGGTTTTTTCCATGGTGCAGCTAAGATCATGCAGTGATGTTTGGTGTTCTTGATTGTAGCTGAGCAAGGGAACACAGCCCCGTGACCACAGGACCTTCCCAGCAGGCGAGGCAGCCTTCTCAACCCCAGATGCTGGAGAGATAAGTCAAGGGCTAAGGCCCACAGAGGGGAATCAGCTTTGTGGGCGGGGATGTGCAAGAAGTGCCCCTCTAGGCCACTTAAAGGGAAAGTGTCTGTTTAGATCACAGTGCTGAGGTGCACAGGGCAGAGCAGTTCCGGTGTGTGTCCCGTCACTTGTCTCTGGTGCGTTCTGTGTTCTTTGGGTCTCTCGGTCCTTGCAGACGTTGTTCTCATCTAAAGCTCTCTCTCCCTCTCCTGTCCCCTGGTTTGTCACGTCCTGTGTGTTGTCACGGGTGTGTGCCCACATTTGTCCCACAACTGCTCTGCCCTGGTGCATAGCTTGTAACAGCACAAGTTCTGGGGACTTGAAATTTGTATTGGGAGATTGCCATAACATTTTTGGTGCTGTTAAGTTGTCCTGCAGCCGTTTGACACTAGTTCTAACTTCCTTTCAGATGCAGACAGTTCAAATCGGTGGCAGAGGGCACCAGCCCTGGGTGATGATCTTCCCATGAGCAGGTCAGTCATTGTTTGCATTTGCAGGGGAAGCGTAAATGGGTGACTGTGTTACAGCGGTGTTCTTTGCCTTTATTTTTAGGAGGTCCAGACAGATAGCAGCAGTCAAGGCCCAGGGTGCCAGGTGAGCAGTGGACAGAAGCAGTTGTTCTTGCTCAGGTCTCAATTTTTGGTGCAACTGTAAGCATCCATTCTTGTTTTTCTGCTTTAGGGAATCCACTTGGAGTATGCCTAGCAGCTGTCACCAACCGGCTGATGGCCCGGGTTTCCTGTGCTTGTGAACCCTCTGGAAGCATTACAGGACTCTGTGATGAAGCCTTGAAATTTTGTATTTCAAGATGGCATCGGGGTAGCCTTTGGCAGTGGCCAAGGAGGTGCGGCAAGTCACTGAGGTAGGGAGCGGGAGCCAAGGTCCGCTTAGGTTTCAGCAATGCCGAGTCACTTTGTCTCTCCTTAACCCAGGCAGACCCTACAATGACGGTGGCAGCCTCTGAGCATGGCCAAAGTGTGCAGCCCGAGCAACTGGGCATTCTTAGGAGAATGGTGAGTAGCAGAATTGCTGGGTTTTTTCCATGGTGCAGCTAAGATCATGCAGTGATGTTTGGTGTTCTTGATTGTAGCTGAGCAAGGGAACACAGCCCCGTGACCACAGGACCTTCCCAGCAGGCGAGGCAGCCTTCTCAACCCCAGATGCTGGAGAGATAAGTCAAGGGCTAAGGCCCACAGAGGGGAATCAGCTTTGTGGGCGGGGATGTGCAAGAAGTGCCCCTCTAGGCCACTTAAAGGGAAAGTGTCTGTTTAGATCACAGTGCTGAGGTGCACAGGGCAGAGCAGTTCCGGTGTGTGTCCCGTCACTTGTCTCTGGTGCGTTCTGTGTTCTTTGGGTCTCTCGGTCCTTGCAGACGTTGTTCTCATCTAAAGCTCTCTCTCCCTCTCCTGTCCCCTGGTTTGTCACGTCCTGTGTGTTGTCACGGGTGTGTGCCCACATTTGTCCCACAACTGCTCTGCCCTGGTGCATAGCTTGTAACAGCACAAGTTCTGGGGACTTGAAATTTGTATTGGGAGATTGCCATAACATTTTTGGTGCTGTTAAGTTGTCCTGCAGCCGTTTGACACTAGTTCTAACTTCCTTTCAGATGCAGACAGTTCAAATCGGTGGCAGAGGGCACCAGCCCTGGGTGATGATCTTCCCATGAGCAGGTCAGTCATTGTTTGCATTTGCAGGGGAAGCGTAAATGGGTGACGGTGTTACAGCGGTGTTCTTTGCCTTTATTTTTAGGAGGTCCAGACAGATAGCAGCAGTCAAGGCCCAGGGTGCCAGGTGAGCAGTGGACAGAAGCAGTTGTTCTTGCTCAGGTCTCAATTTTTGGTGCAACTGTAAGCATCCATTCTTGTTTTTCTGCTTTAGGGAATCCACTTGGAGTATGCCTAGCAGCTGTCACCAACCGGCTGATGGCCCGGGTTTCCTGTGCTTGTGAACCCTCTGGAAGCATTACAGGACTCTGTGATGAAGCCTTGAAATTTTGTATTTCAAGATGGCATCGGGGTAGCCTTTGGCAGTGGCCAAGGAGGTGCGGCAAGTCACTGAGGTAGGGAGCGGGAGCCAAGGTCCGCTTAGGTTTCAGCAATGCCGAGTCACTTTGTCTCTCCTTAACCCAGGCAGACCCTACAATGACGGTGGCAGCCTCTGAGCATGGCCAAAGTGTGCAGCCCGAGCAACTGGGCATTCTTAGGAGAATGGTGAGTAGCAGAATTGCTGGGTTTTTTCCATGGTGCAGCTAAGATCATGCAGTGATGTTTGGTGTTCTTGATTGTAGCTGAGCAAGGGAACACAGCCCCGTGACCACAGGACCTTCCCAGCAGGCGAGGCAGCCTTCTCAACCCCAGATGCTGGAGAGATAAGTCAAGGGCTAAGGCCCACAGAGGGGAATCAGCTTTGTGGGCGGGGATGTGCAAGAAGTGCCCCTCTAGGCCACTTAAAGGGAAAGTGTCTGTTTAGATCACAGTGCTGAGGTGCACAGGGCAGAGCAGTTCCGGTGTGTGTCCCGTCACTTGTCTCTGGTGCGTTCTGTGTTCTTTGGGTCTCTCGGTCCTTGCAGACGTTGTTCTCATCTAAAGCTCTCTCTCCCTCTCCTGTCCCCTGGTTTGTCACGTCCTGTGTGTTGTCACGGGTGTGTGCCCACATTTGTCCCACAACTGCTCTGCCCTGGTGCATAGCTTGTAACAGCACAAGTTCTGGGGACTTGAAATTTGTATTGGGAGATTGCCATAACATTTTTGGTGCTGTTAAGTTGTCCTGCAGCCGTTTGACACTAGTTCTAACTTCCTTTCAGATGCAGACAGTTCAAATCGGTGGCAGAGGGCACCAGCCCTGGGTGATGATCTTCCCATGAGCAGGTCAGTCATTGTTTGCATTTGCAGGGGAAGCGTAAATGGGTGACTGTGTTACAGCGGTGTTCTTTGCCTTTATTTTTAGGAGGTCCAGACAGATAGCAGCAGTCAAGGCCCAGGGTGCCAGGTGAGCAGTGGACAGAAGCAGTTGTTCTTGCTCAGGTCTCAATTTTTGGTGCAACTGTAAGCATCCATTCTTGTTTTTCTGCTTTAGGGAATCCACTTGGAGTATGCCTAGCAGCTGTCACCAACCGGCTGATGGCCCGGGTTTCCTGTGCTTGTGAACCCTCTGGAAGCATTACAGGACTCTGTGATGAAGCCTTGAAATTTTGTATTTCAAGATGGCATCGGGGAAGCCTTTGGCAGTGGCCAAGGAGGTGCGGCAAGTCACTGAGGTAGGGAGCGGGAGCCAAGGTCCGCTTAGGTTTCAGCAATGCCGAGTCACTTTGTCTCTCCTTAACCCAGGCAGACCCTACAATGACGGTGGCAGCCTCTGAGCATGGCCAAAGTGTGCAGCCCGAGCAACTGGGCATTCTTAGGAGAATGGTGAGTAGCAGAATTGCTGGGTTTTTTCCATGGTGCAGCTAAGATCATGCAGTGATGTTTGGTGTTCTTGATTGTAGCTGAGCAAGGGAACACAGCCCCGTGACCACAGGACCTTCCCAGCAGGCGAGGCAGCCTTCTCAACCCCAGATGCTGGAGAGATAAGTCAAGGGCTAAGGCCCACAGAGGGGAATCAGCTTTGTGGGCGGGGATGTGCAAGAAGTGCCCCTCTAGGCCACTTAAAGGGAAAGTGTCTGTTTAGATCACAGTGCTGAGGTGCACAGGGCAGAGCAGTTCCGGTGTGTGTCCCGTCACTTGTCTCTGGTGCGTTCTGTGTTCTTTGGGTCTCTCGGTCCTTGCAGACGTTGTTCTCATCTAAAGCTCTCTCTCCCTCTCCTGTCCCCTGGTTTGTCACGTCCTGTCTGTTGTCACGGGTGTGTGCCCACATTTGTCCCACAACTGCTCTGCCCTGGTGCATAGCTTGTAACAGCACAAGTTCTGGGGACTTGAAATTTGTATTGGGAGATTGCCATAACATTTTTGGTGCTGTTAAGTTGTCCTGCAGCCGTTTGACACTAGTTCTAACTTCCTTTCAGATGCAGACAGTTCAAATCGGTGGCAGAGGGCACCAGCCCTGGGTGATGATCTTCCCATGAGCAGGTCAGTCATTGTTTGCATTTGCAGGGGAAGCGTAAATGGGTGACTGTGTTACAGCGGTGTTCTTTGCCTTTATTTTTAGGAGGTCCAGACAGATAGCAGCAGTCAAGGCCCAGGGTGCCAGGTGAGCAGTGGACAGAAGCAGTTGTTCTTGCTCAGGTCTCAATTTTTGGTGCAACTGTAAGCATCCATTCTTGTTTTTCTGCTTTAGGGAATCCACTTGGAGTATGCCTAGCAGCTGTCACCAACCGGCTGATGGCCCGGGTTTCCTGTGCTTGTGAACCCTCTGGAAGCATTACAGGACTCTGTGATGAAGCCTTGAAATTTTGTATTTCAAGATGGCATCGGGGTAGCCTTTGGCAGTGGCCAAGGAGGTGCGGCAAGTCACTGAGGTAGGGAGCGGGAGCCAAGGTCCGCTTAGGTTTCAGCAATGCCGAGTCACTTTGTCTCTCCTTAACCCAGGCAGACCCTACAATGACGGTGGCAGCCTCTGAGCATGGCCAAAGTGTGCAGCCCGAGCAACTGGGCATTCTTAGGAGAATGGTGAGTAGCAGAATTGCTGGGTTTTTTCCATGGTGCAGCTAAGATCATGCAGTGATGTTTGGTGTTCTTGATTGTAGCTGAGCAAGGGAACACAGCCCCGTGACCACAGGACCTTCCCAGCAGGCGAGGCAGCCTTCTCAACCCCAGATGCTGGAGAGATAAGTCAAGGGCTAAGGCCCACAGAGGGGAATCAGCTTTGTGGGCGGGGATGTGCAAGAAGTGCCCCTCTAGGCCACTTAAAGGGAAAGTGTCTGTTTAGATCACAGTGCTGAGGTGCACAGGGCAGAGCAGTTCCGGTGTGTGTCCCGTCACTTGTCTCTGGTGCGTTCTGTGTTCTTTGGGTCTCTCGGTCCTTGCAGACATTGTTCTCATCTAAAGCTCTCTCTCCCTCTCCTGTCCCCTGGTTTGTCACGTCCTGTGTGTTGTCACGGGTGTGTGCCCACATTTGTCCCACAACTGCTCTGCCCTGGTGCATAGCTTGTAACAGCACAAGTTCTGGGGACTTGAAATTTGTATTGGGAGATTGCCATAACATTTTTGGTGCTGTTAAGTTGTCCTGCAGCCGTTTGACACTAGTTCTAACTTCCTTTCAGATGCAGACAGTTCAAATCGGTGGCAGAGGGCACCAGCCCTGGGTGATGATCTTCCCATGAGCAGGTCAGTCATTGTTTGCATTTGCGGGGGAAGCGTAAATGGGTGACTGTGTTACAGCGGTGTTCTTTGCCTTTATTTTTAGGAGGTCCAGACAGATAGCAGCAGTCAAGGCCCAGGGTGCCAGGTGAGCAGTGGACAGAAGCAGTTGTTTTTGCTCAGGTTTCAGTTTTTGGTGCAACTGTAAGCATCCATTCTTGTTTGTGTACTTTGGGGAATCCCCTCAGAGTATGCATAGCAGCTGTCACCAGCTGGCTGATGGACTGGGTTTCCTGTGCTTTATGAGACCTCTGGAAGTATAGCAGGACTCTGTGATGAAGCCCAAAAATGTTGTATTTCAGGGTCCCACCCTGGTAGCCCAGAGGAATGGACAAGGAATTGCGGTGAGTCGGGGAGGTAGGGAGGAGGAGCGTGGGTACACTCAAGTTTCAGCAATGCCACGTCACCCCCTCTCCACGTAACCTCTCTGTACCCGGAGATGATGCTGTCGGCCTCCAAGCACACCTGAGGGGTATGACCTGGGCATTCTGAGGAGGATGGTGAATAGCAGAATTATCAGGTTTTGGCCGATGTGTTGTTAAGACTGTGCACTGATGTTTGGTTTTCTTTCTCTGGGCAGACCAAGAGGTGACAGCTGGAACTTACCGGACAGGCAGACAGCCTTCTTCTGCAGCCAACAGGGATTTGCATCCCAGATGCATGCAAGATAAGTGGAGGGTTATGACCCACAGAGAGATTGGATGAGGGGTGCCAGGTTGGGACTTTCTAGATGAGGTTTTTGTGTCTGTTTTAGAGATGGGGATGTCCAAGAAGCATCCCCTTAGGTCACCTAAAGGGAAAGTGTCTGTTTTGATCTCTGTGCTGAAGTGCACAGGGCAGAGCAGTTCTGGTGTGTGTCCTGTCACTTGTCTCTGGTGCACTCTGTGTTCTTTGGGTCTCTTGGTCCTTTCTTCTCATCTAAAGCTCTCTCTCCCTCTCCTGTCCCCTCGTCTGTCACGTCCTGTCCCGTGTCACGGGTGTCTGCACATATTCATCCCGGAGCTGCTCTGCCCTGCTGCGTAGCCTGTAACAGCACAAGTCCTGGGGACTTGAAATTTGTAAATGCGGGGTGTAGTTGGGCTCTAGACTGGATTAAGAGATTGCCATAACATGTTTGGTACTGTTAAGTTTTCCTGCGGTCTTTTGACACTAGTTCTAACTTCCTTTCAGATGCAGACAGTTCAAATCGGTGGCAGAGGGCACCAGTCCTGGGTGAGGATCTTCCCATGAGCAGGTCATTGTTTGCATTTGCAGGGGAAGCCTTAATGGTGACTGTGTTACAGCGGTGTTCTTTGCCTTTATTTTTAGGAAGCCCAGGCAGATAGCAGCAGTCAAGGCCCAGTGTGCCAGGTGAGCAGTGGAGAGAAGCAGTTGTTCTTGCTCAGGTTTCAGTTTTTGGTGCAACACTAAGCATGCTTTTTTGTTTGTGTGCTTTAGGGAATCCACTGCGAGTATGCCAAGCCCCTGTCACCAGCTGGCCGATGGACCGGGTTTCCTGCACTTATGAGCCCTCTGGAAGTATTACAGGACCCTGTGATGAAGCCTACCGGTTTTGTATTTCAAGGTCCCCTCCTAGTAGCCCAGAGGAATGGCTGAGGAGTTGCGGTGAGTTGGGGAGGTTGGGAGGAGGAGCGAGGGTCCTCTGAAGTTTCAGCAATGCCGCGTCACCTTGTCTCCACTTAACCTAGGTGTACCCTGTGTTGAAGGTGTCGGCCTCCAAGCACGCCTGAGGTGCGTGGCCCGAGCATTCTTAGGAAACGGTGAGTAGCAGAATTGTCAGGTTTTGGCCGATATACTGTTAAGGTTGTGCACTGATGTTTGGTTTTCTTTGTCTTGTCAGACCAAGAGAGAAGAGCCTGGTGACAACTGGAATTTCCCAGACCGGCAGGAGGCCTCCTTCTGCACCTGATGAGGATTTGCATCCCCAGATATGTGCAAGATAAGTCAAGGGTTACGACCCACAGAGGGGATGGAAGAGAGGTGCCAGGTTAGGACTCCGCAGGAGGGGTTTTTGTGTCTGTTTTAGAGATGGGGATGTCCAAGAAGCATCCCCTTAGGCCACCTATAGCGCAAGTGTCTGTTTTGATCTCTGTGCTGAGGTGCACAGGGAAGAGCAGTTCCGGTTTGTGTCCTGTCACTTGTCTCTGGTGCACCCTGTGTTCTTTGGGTCTCTCGGTCCTTTCTTCTCATCTAAAGCTCTCTCTCCCTCTCCTGTCCCCTCGTTTGTCACGTCCTGTCCCGTGTCACGGGTGTCTGCACATATTCATCCCGGAGCTGCTCTGCCCTGCTGCATAGCCTGTAACAGCACAAGTCCTGGGGACTTGAAATTTGTAATGCAGGGTGTAGTTGGGCTCTAGACTGGATTAAGAGATTGCCATAACATGTTTGGTACTGTTAAGTTTTCCTGCAGCTGGTTGACACTAGTTCTAACTTCCTTTCAGATGCCGACAGTTCAAATCTGTGGCAGTGGGCTCCAGTCCTGGCTGAGGAACTTCCAATGAGCAGGTCAGTCATTGTTTGCATTTGCAGGGGAAGTCTAAATGGTGACTCTATTACAGTGGAGTTCTTTGCCTTTATTTTTAGGAGGTCCAGGCAGATAGCAGCTGTCAAGGCCAAGTCTGCCAGGTGAGCAGTGGAGAGAAGCAGTTGTTCTTGCTCAGGTTTCAGTTTTTGGTGCAAAACTAAGCATGCTTTTTTGTTTGTGTGCTTTAGGGAATCCACTGGCAGTATGCCGAGCCCTTGTCACCAGCTGGCTGATGGACCAGGTTTCCTGCACTTATGAGCCCTCTGGAAGTATTACAGGACCCTGTGATGAAGCCTACCGGTTTTGTATTTCAAGGTCTTCTCCTGGTAGCCCAGAGGACTGGCCGAGGAGTTGCAGTGAGTCGGTGAGGTAGGGAGGAGTGAGAGTCCACTCGAGTTTCAGCAATGCCATGTAACGTTGTCTCCACTTAACCTAGCTATACCCTGCAATGACGGCGTCAGAATCCAAGCAGACCTGAAGTGTCCAGGCCATGTACATGTCCATTTTGATGAGAATGGTGAGTAGCAAAATTATCAGGTTTTGGCAGATGTGCTGTTAAGACTGTGTACTGATGTTTGGTTTTCTTTCTCTTGGCAGACCAAGAGGTGTCACGATCCGCTTATAGCGGGGTGTCGTGATGGTTCGTTAGCCGATCCCAAAGTGCAAAAGACAAACAGCAGGGGACTATCAGTTTAATCACAACAGATGCACCTTTATTAAGGGCCAAAAACAATAAATGCGATAGTGGGGGTCAGAAAAGAAATATAAAAGGATAGAGAGAGAGAGAGAAAGGGGGGATGGGAATAGCTACCAACACAGGCGAGGTCCTCAGTGGTCCGGACGATGGGGATCCGTCTTGTTGTGTTGGGGAGAGTCTCCGAAATCCTACCCAACCCAGGGGTCCAGTTATAGTCCACAGAAGGAAAGGGGGGAACATGCAGAACAATGAGAGTCTATTGAAATTGCTATGGGGGGAACAGGTGTATCTACAGAAAATCATCCAGGCTGAACAAACACAATAATGAATAAGTCCATTGAAGTTACTGGAGAAGAACAGGTCATGTCATTTCCCCCACCACCACTCTCTGTGGTAGGGGTCTCAGTCTCAGTCCTTGGGGAGAGGGTTCTTGATCTCCGTCTGTCACGGTGGTAAGGAGGCAGATGAGGGGTCTTCAGTGAGAGACCACCAGAGTCACCCCAACAGTTCATTCAGCTTAAAGGTGGAGAGTGAAGCAGGAATTGCAGAGGGCCGCTCTGTGCTGGGTCCACGCTGGGTCTTCGCCAAGTCCTTGCCAACTCCTTGCCAAGTTCTTGCCGGGCCTCATTCGGAACGTAACGGTACAGCGGCTGCACCTGCACTGTTGCCTTCTCCAAGCCGGAACTGCAGTGGGGGAAGGGAGTTCCTTCTCGTGGCAATCGGCAGGCAAATGAGTGAGGGTCTTCAGACGGCCTCTTACACCACCCCGTGACTGACGATTGCCCTCAAGAGATCTTCAGCAGGGTTCTGTAGTGTCGTTGTGAAGTCTTCAGGACTCGTCTAGTGTTGGCAGCATATCCCAGAGAAGGGAAAAAAAAAGAAAAAGAAGGGGAAAAGAGAATAGGGGAAATAGTAAAACAATAACAATAATTAATAAATTGAATCAATATTAATTGGAACAATTTTAATTGGAACAATTTTCTAATCAATAAACAATGAGTTGATTAAATAATATTAAAACAATTCTTTAAACTAATAAAACAATCTTTAAGAATTCAAATCAGGTTTTCTAAGTGACTAAAACAAACAATCTTCCAATCTTATAATTGCTTTGTGTCTATAGTCCTGGGGATGTCTATAGTATAAAGCACATCGGCCAAGTGGTGTGCATTAATTATAGCTGTCAATTTTGTTAATCGTTTTATCATTCTCCAATTCATAATAAGCAAGATTGCTGATAAAGCAAAGCCAATCAAAACTAAAATCAAAAGAACAACAATGGGATGACACAATTTGTTCAGGATACCTGTAGCAGTAGGTGACCACCCAAAAAGTGTATCCCACCACCTATGTTCTGCATCACTTTTTACTCTTTCTATAACCCGATGTATTTCTTGTACATCATGATGAATAGTTACCAGTGTTTTCTGTCCGTTCTCCTTGATTTTTCCTAAGATTTTAATTAAGTCCTGGTGAAGCAACAATTGCCTTACCAGAGTAAGATTCATTCCAATGGGGGTAGGCAATAGCTTATGGATCAGCGTGTAATTAGATTCTAAAAGTTGATATGAAGTAACTGGAGCTTCAAAAGAAAAATCACATCCTGTAATTTTAGTGAAATTGTAAGCACAAAAATTTGAATGATTTTTAGTATCTACTACTGTGTCTTCTACATACACTGTGTTACAAGCAGTTCTAAAGCATGCACATCCATTGCCTATATATACAAGGAATGTTTTAGGAGTTTCATTAGGATGGATTTCAAAGTGACAGATATTTTGTTCAGTGTCCAGGCAAATATCCTGAGCTATAATTGCATTGCCTTCACAGATGAACCCTTGTTGTTCTCGGACAATACAAGATTCTAAGTTAACAGTTTGCCATTTATCATCAATTTGTCGGGCCCATTCTCTATGCTCGGAAGGATAGAGAGTGGCTCCATCATGATTCAATCCTAATGCAATAATGGGGAATATTGAATGCACGGAGGCATTGCGTATGGTTAACACAAAAGCTGTGGCTAAGTTTGCAGTGGGGTCATAAGTAAAGTTCACCAAATTCCACCAGGATTGGAAATCTTTTTCAAAGTCAGTGGCACTGTCCCAAACTATCTTCCGAATTTCCATAGGAAACGTGCCTTCTTCACCTTCTCTTATAATTGAAGCAGCAACTGACTGCATCCATAATTGTGCCTGGATGCAGCTAAGGGCTAAGGAAACGTTGCTTTGTGTAGAATTGAGTGCATCAATTATCAATTCGTGGTCATTCATATTTACCTTTTCCCAATTTGGTAATATGTTTGTTAGCAACCACTGATGCGTTCCCAAGGCTGATAAGGATGATTGCAATGGTTGTTGTAATTGGGTCAAATCTTTAGTTGTAGCAGCCAATTTATTTAATAATACTTCTGAATTAATACTATTTAGAATTCCCAATCCTGTTCCCACAACACCAGTTATGTCTCTTGGTATCCGTGTTTTAGAAGGGTTCCACTGTCGTAACCAGGTCGTCCAACCCTGGAAAGAAGTTTACAAGAAAGGTGAACAAGCTGGCTGAATTTCAGAGACATTGCTTTGCATTAGCAATTTAACTTGTTTAAGAGACCATGCCGGATTGAACAATATTTGTTGTTGGCCATTTTTCCTGATTATATATGGTTCAACTTTAGAAATTTTTGGGGTAAGCATAACTGGTGGTTGGGTGGTAGGTATCACAACATTAACATCAAGTTCTCCCCAGTATTTAAATCAATACTTTAAACTTAAAAGAAAGCGCTTCAGTATTTTTGGACCAAAGACAAGCTACTTCTGCAGTTTGTGTTAATGTGAAATTGTGTCAACAATCCTGTACGCTTCGGTGCATACAAACCTTTTTGTGCTTAAAGAGATCTTTTCACTTTTTCTGCATACTACCACAATTATTTCAGACCGCAACCACTCAGCTGGTTTCTGGCCATGGGGTTGTGGTAGGATGCAGGACAGTATTACCAGTTTTATCATGAATTAGGTGGTCTTCATGTCCCTCGGAGTTCTTCTGTAAAAGTAAACACAACAGAATCCTGCCAGCGAGAGGCAGAAGAGGTTAGAATGATGGAATTATCCTGCACGTATTTATCCAATGCTCTTTCCCTAGAGCACCAGAGGCTTTCCATGCACATTTATTCAGAGGGGGTTTTAGCACAAGTGGTACTAGCCCTATAGTAAGGGATGTCCACCAGAACAGGTTGGCCAGGGTAATGTGCTGGATTATCAGGATCATTTGGTGCACAGCATAGGAGTCAGTGTAGAGACAGACAAGAGAGGCGTTCTGTGCTTCTTGTTGGAAAACACTCCAGACAGCTCTCAGCTCCTTGACCTGAGAACTGCTTTCTCCCTCATTAATTAGTTCACCAGAGGAAATGTGGGGGGCTGCTGCCCTGTATGTCCACACCTTCCCTTCTCGTTTAGCAGAGGCATCAGTGAACCAAGAGTTTGCTGATTGTTCAGGGCAGAAAGGAGGGGCCACTTTGATTACAGAGGCAGGTTTGTCCTGGCTGCTATCCAAGCTCTCAGTTTCTTGTATTGCCAAATTTTTCACAGCTCCTTCTGTTATTGTAAAGATGTTACAGTAATGTTCAATCTGATCATACCACTTTCTTACCGAGGCCCTCTGGGCCACCCCGTCAGGAGGGGGGGTCCCAGTAGTGACTGTCTTAGTATCATTGAAAGGGCTTCTCAATACAATTGGTAGTTGTAGTGCAAGTCTTTCCACTTCAATGAGAGCCAGGCTGACCACAAACAATCCCTTTTCCCAGGTAGTGCACCTTTTCTCAGCATCTCTGAAACCACGGGAATAAAAACCAACAGGCCTTGTTGGACCCTCGGGTCCCCGCTGCCAAATGTGTACTGACAATCCTGAGACAGCAAATCCCCATTCTACCTGAAAGGGGTCTGTAGGATGAACGAGACCCAGAGCTTGATGAGCTGTTACTTCAAAAATCAGCAATTGCAATGCTTCTTCCTGAGAAGAAGTCCAATCCCATTTTACTCCTTTCCTCAGCAAGTCATAAAGGGGAACCAATGAGTTGTTCTGGTTACTAGGAAATCTGTCTGGTCTTTCTACAGGAGATACAGCTGCTGTAGTTTTCTGTAAGGCTATGGCAGTAGGTTTGAGTGTTTCTGGAAGCCCACAAATTAAAGGGGTCATTATTTCAGGCTTCACAGGTAATTGCATCGGGGATTCAAAGCCAGGAATTAATTTCTTTCTGCGAATCATTTGCAGACAAGCGGCTTTGTGTACACTTTCTAGGAGCTGGTCGGGGGTACTGATTATAGCTATAGGATCTCCCCTTTCCAAGGGGCTTGTTCCCCCAGCCCAAAAAGCCACACGTTGTGTCAGGGACCACGAGTCACGTTTATCTCCTGTTGTTAAGAAGACACCGTGTCCCCAGTACCCACTGGCTTCTTGTTCAGTTAATTTAATTTGATCGCCACCGGTGAGGGACACCCGGAAAACATATTCTGTTTCTGATTCGTATGGGAGGCGTCCGTATTCTCTTTTAAGCTCAGCTAACTCGGTGGCAGTGTATGGTATGTGTTTGGTTGTGATGTGGGGTTCAAGATCATCATCACTGAGATAGTTATATTCTGTTTTAATTAAGGGTCTTAAATGAGAGCAGCAATGTTCCCCATAATTATTTACTGCCTCAAGTTCTTTGTGAGGATAAATTTGGTTAATGCGAGGAGTTTCCTTTTCCTCGGGATTTATAGAGGAATCAGCATTATGTGACTTGTTAACGTGTTCCTCTTTTAAGGCAGCTCTCAATGCACAGTTCTCATTTCTCAATGAATGTTTTTCATTCCTTTCTTCATGTAATTGTTTTTGTAAAATTTCAACCAAATTTTGAAGGGAGTCTATTATTGCATTTTCCTCACTTCTTCTCTCGAAGCGAGTTTCTACAGCTGCCGTAAGACAAGCTCCCAAAACTGAGCATAAGATGGTTTTATTTCTGCCCAGTTTAAATTTTGTATCATGTTGTAAAGAACATATTCTATCAACCACATTATCCAAATTAAACCAATTACTTTGTGCCCATTCTTCTCCTCTCGGAGAAGGTTTGGCATTGTATTTAGCTAGTAGAGCATAAAATTCATCTTTAGCTTTAGCATTAAGATTATTACTCATTTTGTGAAGGGACCAAAACCACGGCAGGGAGGTACAAACTTAAGTTACGCAAAGCACACAGCCTTCGCTGTGTCACCCTTCACTTCCCTGGGTGGGTGAAGAGACAAAACCTGCCTAGGAGGCTCTGCTTAGTTTCCTCAAGTTGTCCCTTCCTTCCCAGACAGTGCAAACACACACATAAAACAACACAGTGTCCCGCCTTTTGCACTAAGAGATCTTTTGCAATTTCTGAAGACAGTGTGGGTGCTTTTTCGCCTAGGCAATGTGCAGTCTGCGGGAAATTCGAATCTCCCCCCTTGCTTTCTAGACCATGCTCAGTTTTTTGGACTGGCAGGCTAGGTGCGGCTGGAGAGAAACGTCCTTCCCCTGTTACAGACTACACAGAACCTGCACCCTTCTGCCTGGACAGAAATCCTGTCCGTGACGCCAATTTAATGTCACGATCCGCTTATAGCGGGGTGTCGTGATGGTTCGTTAGCCGATCCCAAAGTGCAAAAGACAAACAGC